AGCTGACGAGGAAGAGCTAGTGGCGGGAGCGCAGCACGAAGCTGACCTGGAGCGCTTTGATGAGGCGGCGTTCCTACAGCAAGCGGCCGAAGCGCGCGCGGTGGAAGCCGAGGTAGGTCCTATTCCTGCCGCCACCGTCGGCAGCCCTTGCGCCATGCGCAGTAGGGAATCGTTCCGCACCATTCCCTACCCTTACCGCACCTTTCTCCAGTCCTGTTTCCGCCGTTTTCTTACGCTACCCTACAAGTCGCATATCGTACGCCATCCCTGTCGCGCCTTCCTGCTGTTCATCCTGCTGTGCCATATTGTGCCGCCATCGTGTGGCACCATTCCGCATCCTTACCGCACCTTTCGGCCTATCCCGCGCTGCGCGCCTTACCCCCCCTCCCCTTCCTGCCCTCCCCTTCCTACAGGCCCAAGCAGCCGCGGCGCAACCCGCCCCTGAGCAGCCCTTCGACGCGGCCGCCGTGGCTAATGCCTTCATCGCAATGCCCCCTTTCCAGGAGCGGTACACGCATGCCGCGTGTCTACCAATGATGTACATCCCCCCCATCGACCCCTTGGGGGTGATCACCTACCCCTCCACCGACCGCGTTCGGGCGCAAGAGCACCAGGTCGTGGCGTGGACCAAGGAGATGCAAATGTACGGCACCCCTGCTGGAGCGCACGCTAGTCCTTCCGCTACACTCCCCCAGCGCATGGCCACCCCGTCTGAGGAGGCCCGCCAGCCGCAGCTCCACGTCATCGGGGGTGGCACCTCTCGCGAAGTCACGACGCTCCAGCAGCTGCAGCAGGCGTGCCGGGGTGGCGCCCTCCCCCCTTACATGCGCTGCCCACAGCGCGAGCTTCCCTCCCCTGAACAGGTGGCTCTCCTGTTCTCTCTGCACGAGGAGCAAGCGCGCCCTTTCCTACGCCTGGCATACACGCTGCTCCTGGAGGGCATCGGACTGCAGCAGCCGCCCGCCAACGTGCTCATCACCGGGCGGGCGGGCACCGGGAAGAGCCGCATCTTGCTAGCGCTGCTATGGCTGGCGTTCCAGTACGACCAGCAGGACATGATCGCCGTCACCAGCTACACGCACCGTGGCGCTCTGGAGGTACGCACCTTGCCTCACGCCGGGGGGGGAGGAAGGACGGAGGGAGGGACGGAGGCAGGGAGCGAGGGAGGGAGGAAGGGAGCGACAGAGACAGGGAGGAAGAGACGGAGGAAGGAAAGGAACGGAGGAGGAAGGGAGGGAGGGAGAGAGGGAGCGAGCGAGAAAGGAGGGAACGGAGGGAGGGAAGGAAGGACAGAGGAAGGACGGAGGGAGCGAGGCAGCAAAGGAGGCAAAGAGGGACGGAGGGAGCGAAGGAGGGAGGGAAAGAATGCCGCCCCCGGCGGCATGCGCCCCCATGCTGCAGCGTTTTCACGCCGCCGGCTCCTCAACTCTGCCCTCGCCCCAGGTGTCCACGCCCTCCGCCACCGGCCGCACCACTAGCTCCTTCTTCGCCACCATGGCCACGCGCCGGCAGGCGGGCCACGCCGGTGCCGACCCCATGCAGCAGCTCCAGAACAACCTGGCTGGCCGGCGCTTCATCTTCATCGACGAGGTGTACTTCATGGGCCTGCCGCATTTCGAGGACATCTCCTCCAACGTGCGCGACGCTCGGCAGGCCATGGGGTATGCCGGGCCGTACCGGGACCTCCCTTTCGCTGACCTGCACTGCACGCTCGTGGGAGACCCCCGGCAGCACGTGGGCCCCAAGGCGTTGCCGCTCTTCGCGCCCGCCCCTGCCGCCGCCTCCGCCGCCAGGCCGCGCGACCACCGGCCGGCCGCCCTGGGCTCCGCTGCCCGCGCCTCCGCCGCTCGCCGGCGCTTCTGGACATTCCAGGAGATGTACAACCTGGACTTCGAGCACCGCAGCACGGGCTTGCTCGCGGACGACGCCAAGCTGTTCGAGGGGCGCCATACGCCCACCCGGGAGCAAATCGCGGCGCTGGCGGACAAGCTCAACTCCTGCGCCATCAGCACGCAGGCCTTGGCTAACCTCCACACCCCGCGCGTGGTGGTCCTGCGGCACGCCGTACAGCTCCCGCTCAACCGCCGCCTGGCGCTGCAGCACTCCCGCCACCTCCACCAGCGCGTCTACATTTGGCGCTCGTACGACCGCATGCTGGACCACACCCCAGTGCCTGCGGACGTCGCGGCCCGCTTGGACCGGACCTCTTACGACCATACCGCAGACATCCCCACGTTCAACCTCTTCTTCGTGGGCTGCTTGTACACCTTTGCGGATAGGGACGCGCCCGCCCTGCACCGCGTCACCAACAACCAGGCAGACGGCGTCGCCATCACGCTGCACCCGGAGGACGAGCAGTACGCGCAGGACCACCCCGGCGAAAACCCCCTCATCCTGCGCCACCTCCCGCAGGCCATCGTTGTCCGACCCGCCGGCCCCGCCCTGGGCCGCGTGTGCAGCGACCCCATTCCGGAGGGCTGCATCGTCATCACCCCCATCAAGCAGCGCATCACCGTGCGAGCGGCCCGCCCCTCCGAGCCCGACATCGACGTGCAGCGGCACGGCTTTCGCCTGGTGGACGGCTACGCCCTCACCGACTACTGCGTGCAAGGGATGAGCTTCCGCAGCGGCGACACCTGGCTTCTCCACCTGGCGCTGCCGCCCGACGGCCACCTCTCCCGGGCCTCTCTCTACGTCATGCTCTCACGGTTTAAGCGATGGGAGGACGTTCGCCTCCTTACCCCCCTCTGGAACACACCGGAGGAGCGCACGCAGGTCATCACGGCCTTCCTGCGCTGCGCGGAGAGATCCCCGCCCCTCGCCGCTGAGATCGATCGCCTGGAGGCCGGCTCGACGCGGACCATCCAACAGCACCCCGCTCGTATGCAGGAGCTCCGAAACGCGTACCACGCTGCGAGGCCGCAGGTGCGCCCAGTCCCACGTCGCACACCCCAGCCCTACCACCTGTCTTATCATACACACCCGTCCTCCTCCGCGCCCACGTATCCGTACCTCCCTCCTCTGATCCCCCTTCCTTCCCGTTGCATACCCTCCTCCTGTACAGGCTTCTGCTCCTCAGGAAGGCTAGCGCCGCCACCCCACCTTGCCCCGTGCCCGTACCACCACAGGTAGGTCCTTCCAATAATTTGGACCCTCACGCGCACCGCCCCTTCCCACCCCCTCATTACCGTGCCCGCTCCTCCCTTTTCGCATGTCACTCGGGCATCTATCGCGATACTTCCCTTGCTACCCGCTCATTTCCTGTACATCCCTCACCCCTACCCCGTCCCGGCGTGCCCCTCATCTCCTGCCCGCCATTCCTCCGCAGGCCGCGGCTGTGCGGCTCCGCTTGCTCGGCTACATTGCCAAGATAGGCCACCGCGCAATGTTTTGCGTCCCAGTGGCATGGTGCCATGCGCCTTCGATCCTCCTAGCTATCTCGGTGCTTTTTGACTACAGCTCATGCTGTTTCGTGCTTCCATGTAACACCACGGTGCCGTCCTTCCAGTCCTTCCCAGCCCATCCTCGCCCCCTCCCAGCTCTCTGCCAAACGGCCCGACATTCTTGCTGATTAACAGCGAATCTACCACGGCACTCTTTGGTACGGCGCCTCTAAACTGGCGTCGTCTCGGTTGCTCTGTTTGCCACGCGCTGCTCACACCCAACCGGCACGGCCCCAGACCTCCTGATTTCCACCCACTTACCACCGAAACACCGCGCTTGCCTCTGCGTTTCCCTCTGCACCTGCACTCCCCAACATTCCACGTTGCATTACTTTTATTCATAATCTTCCTCTTTATACTCACACCCCATTTACCGCTGTTCCCTTTACATTCCTTCGCCCCCCACACCCCCCACACAGTTCCCACCCTCTCCCCCCACACCACCCCCGCCCCGCCGTCCAGCCCCCAACGCCTCGCAGTGTCGGCGCGCGCGCGCGCCGCTTAATATGCTGCGAGGCGTGGGACGCCGAGCGTAGCGAGGCTCTAGCCTCGGAGATACAGCGTATCTGGACTGTACGGCAAAAAAAGTCGGCCTGATGCTGCACCCCAGGGCTGGCCGCGACCCCCCATGCATCCTCGAAGGGCAGCACGAGACGGTGCTGGAAGGATTTCGTTTCATATACACTATGCGGGAGGGCCGGGAACTTGAGCTCGTCTGCCTTTGACACGATCCCACCGACGCGAAACCTGATGGCGCTGAAAATGGGAGTGCGCATAATTTAAAGCATCGAGTGAGGAAGCGATTGCAAGTGAAAAATGTATGGGGTTGCATCGAGAATTTGTGAGGAAAGTAGCCGCGAGCGAGTACGGGTCAAAAGTCATTGCGGTGAAAATAGGTACCCCTCGAATACCATCCCGGACCGTTTTTACTTAAGAAAGTTAAAGAGCACTATGTCTACAATAAAGCTACCTTGGCAATAACGTCTGGAACGGTCTGTTGGCGCGGAGCGCTAATTGGCTCCCGACCCGAGCCACGTCTCGGAGGTTAAAGGCAAACGCCAATCTATTGTCTTAATAAGTATCTTCAATTGTAGCGAACCAAATCGGCATAGGCAGCGAGACCTTAACTGCGGCGCTCGCGATGCTCACCCGAACCGGTTCCTGGAGCTCTCGAAGCACACCGCCAAAGATGGATTCTCGGCCTACGGGTAACCACGACATAGAAAGCGAAAAGGGTTGGCCGATTCCAGGTCTTTAGTTAGGTCGCGGGCGCCGCGATTACACCTAATGGCTCGCAGCTCTTTGCGAAAAGCCCCACCTATGTTACGCGTTAAAAGCGAGACTTCCATAGCTGTCTCGGGTATGTTGCCTGTCAATTGTGGCTACCTCGGTCGCCGATTTCGCTAACCGGCTTGCACCCGACCGAGCAACCCCCCCGACCTGCCACCCCCAAACACCGCGCCTGCCTCTGCCTTCCTCCCTCTCTGCACCTGCCGTTCTCGCGAATTCTTTCCGCTAGTCCTCGGCACATTTAACCTTCCCCTCCTCACCCTTACCCCTGCATGCTTCTTGAGTTGGCAAACGTCCTCCCCAAAACACCCTTCCGACGTCCTTCCTCCCTCACCGATCTGGCAGGCGTGTTTACATCGCCGATCATCCCCTTCAGCGCTCACCCTCTCATTGCATCCCATATGCATCACCCGCTGCGTCATCGCACCTGCTCACCTTCTTTGCAGAAAGCCCCGACATACTTACCACATGACAGCAGCACTATGATATACACGTCTTTAGTGCATTGCCCGTGGGTGGCCGGTACTTTTATTACCATGTATGCCACCCAAGGATGCAATGGCACCTAGGAGCGGTGCTTGTACGGCCCATAGCGGTTCACAATGTTAGGAACGTTAAAAGGCGTGAGTAGATTACGTCCGCAGGATATAGTCATAAGTTCCGAAGTAGCCACTAGTCGACCCATCAAGGTACCCATCCAACCTCGAACGTAGCGAGAACATCGTTCACAATCATGTCGACTGCAGAGGACAAGGAGTGCCTTATGGCATTTCTGGAGAATGTATTAGATGTCAGTCCAGAGCTTAGGCAGTTAGCGCTACATCAGGAGTGGGACGCTTTCGCGAGGCACGTATCAACAACGCTGGGTGTGGAAACGCGACTTCTGAAAGAAGTTATCCGGGAGGAGAGCGAGTACTTGTTAGACGTGGCGTCGAATGCTGAAGCCGTGTTCGAGCCGGTGGTACCGGAGTCGGAGGTGAGAATTGTTGAACCGTGAAAGGGCATCGATACAAGAACGACATACAGATCTGAAATCCTTGTTGCATTATGCAAGGCAAGCGATCGAAGCGAAGGCGACGGTAACGAGGATGTGACGACGGACGTTGCGGAAGTTCAGCAGCCAACCGCGGGCGCCGTGAGCGGGTTGTATGAAGGCCGCAGCGATACGAGCGTCCACAGCCGGCATGAGGAGCGCCGTGTGCAGAAGACAGCTGAGCGTGAGGCTGACCGGGAAGAACGCCACCAGCAGCAGGAGGAGGTGCATGGAAAAGAGGCAAGCAAGCGCTATAGGATTCAGCGGCGCCATGTTATGAATCCTGCACGTGAGGAAGCTCAGCCTATTGAGAGCCGCCGTGCTGTTGACGACGTGCTGGAGATGCTCGGATTGGCGATGGACGATGGAGTTGAGCAGCGCCTAACCAAGGAGGCACGCCAGACAGATGAGGAGGTGAGGACCTGAACCAGAATCACACGCTTCTCTAAAGCAATCGAAGTAGGTCCGCATGCGTATAATAGCCAGGTCATGTCTTGGAAGAATGCTATCCCGTATCTTCTGAGATCATTAATTGCGTAGAAATGAATTGTCGTGCTGGCCTGATTATGACATACCATGCGATATATGGCATGCAGGTGCTGGATCGCCATTTCAGCGCTGCTGTACAGTTCCGGCAGCATATGGCTGTGAATGCGCAGCATGCCATCTGCTGCGTGTGCAGCATGCGCCATCCAGGGACGGCTGTCCACCCGTACGGGTACTCCCAGATCCGTACCGCGCTGCAGCCCCTTCGCAAGGATGAGCTGCGCTGCGCAGCCTTCCCTCGCAACGGTAACACGTCATGGCAGGCGCCGGACGGAGTTGAGTATTGCCTGCAGGGCGACCCACGGGCCGGCTGCATTCATGCGTCCTCCCAACCGCCGCCCGCGCCCCCGACCTTTGGACTCTCCCTTCCACCGTTCGCGCCGGCGGGTGATCAGAGCGGCAGCCAGGCTTCGGCCGGGCTGGCGCAGCTGCGCGGCCCGGGCGAATATACGCTGTGGATCTGCGAGGATTGTTGGCGCACGCTGTACCCGCGCACGGTGGCTACACCTGACGAGGCAGAGGAGATCGCAGCCGCTGGCAAAGCCGAGGAAGAGCAGCAGGTGCGGGATGACGATGCAGCGGGACCAGCAGCGGCAGAAGCGGAGGTTCAGCTTGACGCACAGCTGCAGGCGCTGAACAAGCGCATCCCACGGTTTGCCCTTGCCCGGTGCGACCGTGGGACTTGGCCGCATCGTCCTGATGGAACCCCGTACGACCAGCTGACGATGGTGGAGAACATGTTCGTGAGCACGCTGCTCGTGCACCGGCACGTTCTGTTCCTGCATGCCCCGACAAGCAAGCGGCCGCTGTGGCTGCAGCAGCGGGGATACGTGGGGCACGTTGTCGCCACACCCAACCTGGGAGCACCAGCCATTTGCGAGCTGCTCCCGTGCCGGTTAGCAGAGGTGCCGCGACGCATGAAGGTGGTATTCATCGGGCCGGCGGCGAATCTCGAGGAGGCGCGGGCAAAGATGCAGCACGCGCCCGCCTTGTACGTGGACGGGCCCAAAGTGGTGGAGTTCGCTCGCTTCCTGGTAGCATCCGTGGGGTCCGGTGCACGGCTGGATGAGGTGGCGGTCCGGGAACTGGAACAGCTACAGGGCGTGCCGGACTCACTTGTTGAGGATGCTGTTGTCGTCCAGGACCCTGAAGAGGCACGCGCGCTGCTGGGCACCCTCCGCAGCGATCCGGTGGAGTACGCCCGGACTCGGTACGGCGCGAGGGATGAGGTCGGGGCGGTACAGCACCCCATCGCTGGACAAGCCGAACATGGCAGCACAGCGGCAGCCGCCGCTGGGTCCAGCACTATCGCACAGCCTACAGCGCCTCCTAGCGGCGAGGGTGTTCAGGTGCACCACGCGACAGCAGACATCGCTGAGCCTTTGCCTGGCGCCATGGTAGGTCAGTTTGCCGGTGGCGTTTGGGGCCTTCCTCCCGGGCTGCAATTCCGGTTGCCAGCAGCGCCACCCGGTGGAACCATAAGGAGCCTACCCACCCGCCGGCGCACCAGTGCGCGGTATGATACGGTTCGGATCAGCCGGGCTCTCCGTGCGCTCCTGCAGAAACGGGGGGCTACGCGTCTCGGCGCTAGAGAAGCGGCACGGGTGCTCATCGCAGAACCCGGCTTCAGCCATCTGGACGAAGGCAACCTCGTCAGGCACTTGGCACGGTTCTGCGGTCCCGACCAGGCCTACGGCGGACTGCTAACTTCGCAGGTATAGTGAGATAAGCCTGCCCATGCCATTATTAGGCATGACTTGCGCCGTGTTGCACCATTTGTTGTTTTACGGCACCATTACATCGTGCGATCATTACTCGCGGAGAACGGCTCTCAGGAGCTTACGCCACCGGTGCCGATGCTCACCTGTGTAGCCCATGACGCCGCAGGCCACTGCCCGCCAGCGCCGACGCGCTGCCGGGCACCCGGCACAGCCTGCTGACGCCGGGACCCAGGAAGCCGCCGCTATCCAAGGGGTCCAGATGGAGCTGCGCGGTCATGCGACAACGGGACAGGCGGTTCATGATACCCGTGCGGCACCGCGCGGCCAAAAGCGGAACGCTCACGAAGCCGCACCGACCACAACGCCTCCTCCCACGGTGAGCTCGCGGCCAGGTTAGCAGCATGACGCTTCACCCGTAAGCTCCGGACGATGGATCCTTTGCTTTCCGTGCAGGCCCCCCCGACCAGGACTGCTGCTGCTGCTGCACCCTCGGCTGCCGGACAGTTGGTAAGGCATAATCACTGTTATCGTCGTGCCTTCTGCCATGGGCTGCTATCGTTTAGTGTAATGATGGCATCACGCCTCTCCCCCACCGCGCTGATGCCTGCCACCACCGTCGCCGTACAGCCTGCAGACAATATCACGGTAGGGAGTCCTTCTATGCCGTCGTGCTGCATCCATCGGCGCAGATGCGGTTTCTTGCTTGTTCCATGCTTCCATGCGTCTTCGCTTTCACCCCTCCTCCTTTCTTCTATACCTGCACCGCAGGCCCTCCCACCGCAGGCTCGGCCACGCTTCGCCGCCCTGACAAACACAGCTGCTGCTGCTGCACCCTCAGCTGCTGCGCCGTCGGTAAGGCACAAATAGTATTATGCTTATACCTTCTGCCATTATGCTGTAATGATGGCATCGCGCCTCTCACGTGTGCAGGGCGCCCCTCCCACCGCGCTCACGCCTGCCACCACCGCCGCCCTACAGCCTGCGCACAATATCGCGGTAGGGAGTCCTTGTAAGCCGTCATCCTGCATCCATCAGCGCAGATGCGACTTCTTCCTTGTTCCCTGCTTCTATGCCTCCTCGCTCTCACTCCTCCTGCTTCTTACCGTACCTGCGCCGCAGGCCCTCCTGCCGCCGCGTGCCCCAGAAATGGTGCATGGCCAGGATGACATGCCCGGCAATATCGCGGTAAGCATTTCTCCAGAACGCCACATGGGCGTCAGACCTTTGGAAGGCGGCCGGTGCTGGTTGAAACACATGTAGCGTCTCCCTTATTTCAGACGGGCGTTTGCGAGATGCCGCCTTCACGTTTTGCCCATCCAAACCCTGTTCTGCGTGTGTACCGCAGGACCTGCCCTCGCTGCGTGGCCGGGACTTCATGCACGGGCTCGACGATATGGAGGTCCTGCTTCGCAGCACGGTGACTAGGGACGTCGCGGCTGCACAGCGGAGGGCAGCAGACGCGCGGGAGTTTGTGGAACGCATCCTAGGGGGCGCCAGCATTGTCGTACCCAGCGGCGGCCCGCCGGACTTTGCCTATGACTACGACCCGCTCTGGTTTCTGCGGGCGCACCCTAGCTCCTTCCCCAACGGCACGGGCGCTTGCCCGGCGGGGATGTCGCTCCAGGACTGGGGCCGCATGCAGCTGCTGCGGTGGTGCCCGCCGGAAGCCGCCCCCCCCAGCCCTTACTTCATCATTGACCTCACAGATATCATCGTGCGCCACACCGTGAACCGCTTCGCCGCCGTCAAGGCGCAGCTGGCGCCGTCCCACATGCGTCAGCTGGGCGGCCTAACGGCGACCGACGTGCTGGCGGCGGTCCAGGTGGCTCGGCGCGGGCTGATTGGGGCGGAGCTCCGCAGTGCCTTGGCGCAGCTACCGCAGGGCGGGCGGCTCCTCTTCCACGCCTTCCATTTTATCTCGGGGCGCGTGCCGGGCACGTTGCGCTCTAAGGCCAGCCTGCGGTCGCGACAGCTGGGCGGCACCTACATAGCCCTGGGGCCGCCGTCGCTGTCCGTCAACCTGAACCCCTCCCCGTTGGACTCTCATATGTTCAGCGCGCTGGCGGGCCAGCCGTACGCATTCTCTGAGGTGGGGGAGCCTGTACAGCGGCCGAATGCCATGCAGCGCTGGAAGATGGTGGTGCAGCATCCCCGGGAGGCGGCCGAGTACTTCAGCCTCTTCGTGCGCGCCTTCTGTGCTATCTTCCTGGGCTGGCCGGTGGGCGCGCCCCGGCAGACCAACCCGGATGCGCTCTTCGGCCACGTCCTCGCCTACTTCTTCAGCTTCGAGACAAACCAGGCGGGCGACTTGCACACGCACGGCTGCGTATGGCTGGCAGAGCTCAGCGCGCAGCGGGTACAGAACATGCTGGCCAGCCCGGCCTCGCAACAGCTGCTGGTGAAGTTCGTGGAGCACCTCACCTTCCAGCGCCTCCCGGACCGCAGGCAGTGGTTCGCCGGGGGGCGGCACGGTGCGAGCTTCCGAATTGGCGTCGGCGACAGCAGCACCCCGACGGAACAGCGACAGGAGGTCCAGCCCCGTGAGGAGCATGAGGAGCCCGCGTCTGCATGCATGCCGCCCTTGGACGCCCAGCGCCGAGGCACGGCGATCTACCTCGCCGCCCAGGCGGTGGCGGACAAGCAGAACCACCGACACACCGTCACGTGCAGCACCCACGGCGGCGCGCCAACGGACGAGGGCTGCCGCCTCAAGTCGCCGTGCCCCATCGTCCCCAGCAGCCTCGTCCTTCCGCACGGCCGCGGCATCCTGCTGCAGCGCACCGGCCAGCGGCTCATCTCGTATGTGCCGGCCATCATGTTCGCGCAGCCATGCAACATGTCCATCACGGCGCATGTGGAGATGAGCCGCTGGTTCCGCGACCTCCTCATCTGGCGGCACCACCACCCAAACGCTTCCCTGACGGACCCCACCATGCCGTGCCTTCCCAGCCTGGACATCATCGCCGCCGACGCCGGCGAGTATGCCATCGCGTACACCACCAAGGGCCCGCCCGTGGACGAGCGGATGGCGGCGTTGGAGACGGTGGCCGTGCTGCAGGACCGCGAGGCGCGGCATCGTACGGCGCCGGGCCATGCGGCGGCAGCGGCAGGCAGCGAGGAGGCGATCCGGAGCCGTGGCAAGTTTTTTGTGGAGCACTTCACGAACCAGGCGCACGGGACGTACTGCCTCCCCGTCCAGCACTGCGCCTTGTTCCGTTTGGGCGAGCCGGACTGTTTCGAGTCCCACCGCTACGTCCCGCATGACGCCGGCCTGTTCGGCAACTTCCTGCTGAACGGCCAAGGAGAGCTGGACACCGGGGAGATCGCGCCGCGCCTGGCGCGTCCCGCCGGCGTGGAGCTCGCCGCAGAGAATGAGGACGGCCTCCAGGCTATGGCTCTGGCAGAGGCAGCGGCAGGCCCGTCCATCCCAGGTGCACGTGAGCCGCCTGACGCAGCCCTGTCACGCCACCGTTGGCCCACGCTTCCTGCCGTCGTGTACGACTACCTGTACCGCGGGCCCTTGCTGCGGGACCTGCCCAGCATTATCGTCACGATGTGCTTCTACAAGGTGCGCGGCCCTCCTCCGCCTTCCATGCATCCCTTACCTCTGGAGCCAGCCTGCCGTGCCTGATGCCTGCCATGCCAGTCATGCTCACCCTGCTTCCCTAGTGTCGCATGCCTTCCTTGCCGCGCCGCCTTCATGCCGCCGAACGGTCTCATCCCAGTCATGCTGACCTGGCTTTCCCCCCCCCCCTCCCCACCCGCCGACCCCAACAGGACAAGTACCGCGGCAAGCTCCCCATGCCGCCGGGTACGCGGACATTGCACCCGCTCCACCTGCAGTTCAATACGCACGTCTGGCGCCGGTATGACGTGCCGCGCCTACCGCACCTGATTCGGGATCCGCTCCTTAAGCCGGGGCGCACGGCGACCGACCTGGAGCGCCGCCTGTACGCGGCCTTCATCCTGGGCAGCTTGTCGGTGTACGACCACGCGTTCCACGTGGACGACCCCAACCCCGCGGCCCTCTGGGCACTCTACAGCACCCCGCAGCGCGAGAGCCCAGCCGTGCAGCGCCTGTGGGCCCACTTCGAGGCTAACATGGTCCGCCGCGCCGGCGTGCACGCTCGCGGCCATGCCAGGCGACAGCGGGAGCAGGCGACTGCCCCGCAGGCGATCAATGACAGCAGCCAGGACGCCGAGGCCGCGTTGGAGCACAGCGAGGCCGCGGAGGGCATCTTTTCTACGCGCCGGTTAGAAGCTGACGAGGAGGAGCTACTGGCGGGAGCGCAGCACGAAGCTGACCTGGAGCAGTTTGATGAGGCGGCGTTCCTACAGCAAGCAGCGGACGCGCGCGCGGTGGAAGCCGACGTAGGCCCTATTCCTGCCGCCACCATCGGCAACCCTTGCGCCATGCTGTGCCGCAATCGTTCCGCACCATTCCCTACCCTTACCGCACCTCTCTCCAGTCCTGTTTCCCCCCTTTTCTTACGCTCCCCTACAAGCCGCATATCGTACGCCATCCCTGTCGCGTCCTCCTCCTGTTCATCCTGCTGTGCCATATTGTGCCGCAATCGTGTGGCACCATTCCGCATCCTTATCACACCTTTGGGCCTATCCCGCGCCGCGCGCCTTAGCCCCCCTCCCCTTCCTGCCCTCCCCTTCCTACAGGCCCAAGCAGCCGCGGCGCAACCCGCCCCTGACCAGCCCTTCGACGCGGCCGCCGTGGCTAATGCCTTCATCGCAATGCCCCCTTTCCAGGAGCGGTACACGCATGCCGCGTGTCTACCAATGATGTACATCCCCCCCCTCGACCCCTTGGGGATGATCACCTACCCCTCCACCGACCGCGTTCGGGCGCAAGAGCACCAGGTCGTGGCATGGACCAAGGAGATGCAAATGTACGGCACCCCTGCTGGAGCGCACGCCAGTCCTTCCGCTACACTCCCCCACCGCATGGCCACGCCGTCTGAGGAGGCCCGCCACCCGCAGCTCCATGTCATCGGGGGTGCCACCTCTCTCGAAGTCACGACGCTCCAGCAGCTGCAGCAGGCGTGCCGGGGTGGCGCCCTCCCCCCTTACACGCGCTGCCCACGGCGCGAGCTTCCCTCCCCCGAGCAGGTGGCTCTCCTGTTCTCCCTGCACGAGGAGCAAGCGCGCCCTTTCCTTCGCCTGGCATACACGCTCCTCCTGGAGGGCATCGGACTGCAGCAGCCGCCCGCCAACGTGCTCATCACCGGGCGAGCGGGCACCGGGAAGAGCCGCATCTTGCTAGCGCTGCTGTGGCTGGCGTTCCAGTACGACCATCAGGACATGATCGCCGTCACCAGCTACACGCACCGTGGCGCTCTGGAGGTACGCACCTTGCCTCAGGCCGGGGGGGGGCGGGAGGACGGAGGGAGAGACGGAGGCAGGGAGGGAGAGAGGGAGGAAGGGACGGAGGCGAGAAAGGAAGGCAGGAGAATGGGAGGGAGGGAGGGAGGGAGCGAGCGAGAAAGGAAGGGACGGAGGGAGGGAAGCAAGGACAGAGGAAGGGGGGAGGGAGCGAGGCAGCAACGGAGGGAATGCCGCCCCCGGCGGCATGCGCCCCCATGCTGCAGCGTTTTCACGCCGCCGGCTCCTGAACTCTGCCCTCGCCCCAGGTGTCCACGCCCTCCGCCACCGGCCGCACCACCAGCTCCTTCTTCGCCACCATGGCCACGCGCCGCCAGGCGGGCCACGCCGGCGCCGACCCCATGCAGCAGCTCCAGAACAACCTGGCTGGCCGGCGCTTCATCTTCATCGACGAGGTGTACTTCATGGGCCTGCCGCACTTCGAGGACATCTCCTCCAACGTGCGGGACGCTCGGCAGGCCATGGGGTATGCCGGCCCGTACCGGGACCTCCCTTTCGCCGACCTGCACTGCACGCTCGTGGGGGACCCCAGGCAGCACGTGGGCCCCAAGGCGTTGCCGCTCTTCGCGCCCGCCCCTGCCGCCACCTCCGCCGCCAGGCCGCGCGACCACCGGCCGGCCGCCCTGGGCTCCGCCGCCCGCGCCTCCGCCGCTCGCCGGCGCTTCTGGACATTCCAGGAAATGTACAACCTGGACTTCGAGCACCGCAGCACGGGCTCGCTCGCGGACGACGCCAAGCTGTTCGAGGGCCGGCATACGCCCACCCGGGAGCAAATCGCGGCGCTGGCGGACAAGCTCAACTCCTGCGCCATCAGCACGCAGGCCTTGGCTAACCTGCACACCCCGCGCGTGGTGGTCCTGCGGCACGCCGTACAGCTCCCGCTCAACCGCCGCCTGGCGCTGCAGCACTCCCGCCACCTCCACCAGCGCGTCTACATCTGGCGCTCGTACGACCGCATGCTAGACCACACCCCTGTGCCTGCGGACGTCGCGGCCCGCTTGGACCGGACCTCTTACGACCATACCGCAGACATCCCCACCTTCAACCTCTTCTTCGTGGGCTGCTTGTACACCTTTGCGGATAGGGACGCGCCCGCCCTGCACCGCGTCACCAACAACCAGGCAGAGGGCGTCGCCATCACGCTGCACCCGGAGGACGAGCAATACGCGGAGGACCACCCCGGCGAAAACCCCCTCATCCTGCGCCACCTCCCGCAGGCCATCGTGGTCCGACCCGCCGGCCCCGCCCTGGGCCGCGTGTGCAGCGACCCCATTCCGGAGGGCTGCATCGTCATCACCCCCATCAAGCACCGCATCACCGTGCGAGCAGCCCGCCCCTCCGAGCCCGACGTCGACGTGCAGCGGCACGGCTTTCGCCTGGTGGACGGCTACGCCCTCACCGACTTCTGCGTGCAAGGCATGAGCTTCCGCAGCGGCGACACCTGGCTTCTCCACCTGGCGCTGCCGCCCGACGGCCACCTCTCGCGGGCCTCGCTCTACGTCATGCTCTCGCGGTTTAAGCGATGGGAGGACGTCCGCCTCCTTACGCCCCTCTGGAACACACCGGAGGAGCGCACGCAGGTCATCACGGCGTTCCTGCGCTGCGCGGAGAGGTCGCCGCCCCTCGCCGCTGAGATCGACCGCCTGGAGGCCGGCTCGGCGCGGACCATCCAACAGCACCCCGCTCGCATGCAGGAGCTGCTGAACGCCTACCATGCTGCGAGGCCGCAGGTGCGCCCAGTCCCACGTCGCACACCCCAGCCCTGCCGCCTGTCTTATCATAGACACCCCTCTTTCCACATATCCGTACCTCCCTCCTCTCATCCCCCTTCTCTCTCCTCTCATACCTTCCTCCTATACAGGCTTCTCCTCCGCAGCAAGGCTAGCGCCACCTTCCCACCTTGCCCCGTGCCTTGCTATGTCACGTGCCAGGTACGCCTTTCACGTCATATGCGTCCTCACTTCGGCGTGCCATTCCGGCACCCAACGCGCTTCTGTTTTCTGCCATCCCGCCGCGCACACTACCGCTGCATCCCTCCGTGCCATACTTCCCCTACTACCCGTCCATTTCCTACACGCCCCTCACCCCTACCCCGTCCCTGTGTGCCCCTCATCCCCTGCCCGCCAGATCATCCGGCTAGATTGCCAAGATAGGCCACCGGCCAATGTCTTGCAACCCGGTGGCACACATCTCCTGAGGCTGTGGAAGACCCCGGCTGCTGCTCTGCGACTCCGGCTGCCCAGCTACATTACCGAGATAGGCCACCGGGCAATGTTTTGCAACCCGGTGGCATGGTGCCATCTTAGTGCTTCTGGGCTATAGATCATCTCGCAAGGCGAGCGCACATACCGCTTCCGTATTCGTCGCTGTATGGGTGCTTCTAGGCTACATAGATTGGTGGACATGCCTCGGTGCTTCTTGACTACAGCTCATGCTGTTTCGTGCCTCCATGTAACGCCACCGTGCCGTCCTTCCAGTCCTTCCCAGCCCAGACTCAGTCAGCAAAGAACCAGGGTGCTCCAACCACACACATCTGCCATACCCATTTCCAGCTCGGCAATTGCCACTCTCCCTCATCTCTAACCGCCACTACTCATCCAACTTACCGACACTCCTTACAGCCCTACCCCACTAGCCCCACACCCACTCACCCGGGGCCTGGGTTCTCTTCCACGTACCCTCCACTATTCCTCACCTCTAATGCGCAAGGTCAACACTACCCAACTAATATATATGTATATATTATATATGTTTCTATTCCCACACCCACACATCCCACATTACCCCAACCCGTGCCCCATGCCCGTGCCGAACCTTTTCCCTCCTGCCCAACCCCTCCGTACCACCCACTCACCCAAGCCCCATGCCCCTATCCCCCCCCCCCAAAATTACACCCCACTTCCCCCCGCCTCCCCCGCATGACCCCCGCCCCGCCGTCCAGCCCCCCCACGCCTCGCAGTGTCGGCGCGCGCGCGCGCCGCTTAATATGCTGGAGGGACGAGGGGACGATAAGGGGAGTGGGGAGCATGGAGGGGGATGTGAGGCCGTGTCAAAACCCGTGTCGTACAGATGCCGTACAACCGTACGGCAGTTGTTGTACACTGCCGTACAGCTGTCGTACATAGTCGTACATGTCGTACATGTCGTACACCACATGATGCGTCACCACACAGCATGGCAACTGTGCCGTACAGTTTGCTGCCGTACAGTGTGTTGTCGTACTCGAGATCTCCTAGAACACCATCCCCATAGGCCCAGGCATCATCTCCAAGGGTGCCGAGGAAGTCGCCAAGAGGTCGCTACCTGGCTCGAACTGGAGACCTCTGGCTGGCTGAGGATAGGACCGAACGCTTAGCGCCTTAAGGTCGTTGCCACCACTTTTGCGAACGGACAGACAGACAGACGGACGGACGGATAGCGCCGCGTCGTGGTCGCCGCGGCCGGGGGTACCGTAAATCCTGATTGGTGATGAATTCGCGAACGAACAAGCTTTGCGTGCCGGCATGACTTCAGCATTGCGGACCTAACGTTGACGCGCCGACCAGTGTTGTGAGGTTGCTCATGTGTTGCAGACAAGCATGGTCGGCGGACCTGATGTCAGCGTGCGGCTCATGTTCGAAAGCAATAGTCGGCATGGCGTACATGTACGGCATGGCGTCGAACTGCTTCAAATTCAAATTTCGGGGCGCCTCCGGACGTTTTCCGCTATTGGTGACCTCTTGGGGCTGCCCTACGGCATGTTGGCGTGTCCTAGGCATGAAAAGCCCTTGTTCTGTACCAACATATACAGGTAGAGCCTCGCTACCTGTGAACTACATGCACACACACACAGAAACACATCTGCGCAATGAGGGCGATGTCTCATGACCCGTGGGTCAGTGATCACCAAAAAAGCTATCATTTTCGGCGATCAGCAATCGGCGCTTTTCAGGAGATGCGCCGACTTCACGATCGTGCTTCTCGTCGAAACCAGCCTGCAAATTGCGCCGAAAGACCTTTGCCGATGCCAGGCAAATTGTGCCGAAATCTAAAGAGCTTCCACGGCGATCTCCCCTGACAGCATTTGTCGATCAGCAATCGCCGATCAACCATAGTTTTTGGCGATCAGTAATCGGCGCTTTTCAGGAGATGCGGCGACTTCACGACCATGCTTCTCGCCGAAACCAGCTTGCAAATTGCGCCGAAAGACTCTCGCCGATGCCAGGCAAATTGCGCCGAAATCTAAGAAGCTTTCACGGTGACCACCCCTGACAGCATTCGCCGATCAGTAATCGCCGATAAACCCTCGTCTTCGGCGACCAGTAATCGGCGCTTTTCATCAGACGCGCCGACTTCGCGACCACGCTTCTCGCCGAAACCAGATTACATTTTGCGCCGATTTTGTTTTGCCGAAACCATACCAGTCGCCGAAACAGTTTTACACTGATTTCGGAAAAGTAACCTAGAAACTGCGAATGGCTCATTAAATCAGATATAGCTTAGTCGATATCACAATGCAAGACATCTCAACAAGGAGACGGGCGGCACACGGTGCCCCAACCCATGCCGTACCGCTGTACGACAGGGGTGTTCAGACGAGCTAGAGTGATGAAGAGGTGGTGAGGGGAGTAGGGAGTTTGGAGAGGGGTGGTAACGGTCACCAAACAGTTTTGCGCCGATTTCTGAAAGTAACCAAGAAACTGCGAATGGCTCATTAAATTAGTTATAGCTTAATCGACATCACAATGCAAGACATTGCAACAAGAAGATTGGTGATACGTGGTGCCCGAACCCATGCCGTACCGTGTCGCTATACGACATGGGTGGTCAGAGGAGCCAGAGCGACGAGGGGGTGGTGAGGGGAGTGGGGAGCATGGAGGGGGGTGGTAACGGTCACCAAACAGTTTGACGCTGATTTTGGAAAGTAACCAAGAAACAACGAATGGCTCATTAACTCAGTTACAGCTCAGTCGACATCACAATGCAAGACATCGCAACAAGAAGACTGGCGGCACACGGTGCCCCAACCCATGCCGTACCGTGCCACTGTACGACAGGGGTGTTCAGAGGACCGAAGCGATGATTGGTGATACGTGGTGCCCGAAGCCATGCCGTACCGTGTCGCTGTACGACAGGGGTGGTCAGAGGAGCTGGAGCGAGGAAGGGGTGGTGAGGGGAGTGGGGAGCATGGAGGGGGGTGGTCACAGTCACCAAACAGTTTGACGCTGATTTTGGAAAGTAACCAAGAAACTGCGAATGGCTCATTAACTCAGTTATAGCTTAATCGACATCACAATGCAAGATATTGCAACAAG